TGAGTCATTAGAGCACACAGTTGGGTTTATTTGAAATAGTATTTTTGCACCAACAAGGTGATTCCCAAAGAGGCCTATCTGCAGCAGATGAACAGCATCTTAAAGTTATGTCATTAAAAACTGAGAAGAAATTCAGCAAAGACCTGACACAAGACCTGCAAGATGTCTCTGGTCCTTCAGTTAATCAGTCTGTGACAATTTTTGCCCAAATTGTCGTCACTATTTACAGAGCAGGTCAGGAGAGAGTGAGTGTCTGCAGCCACCTGTAAAACACGGTGGAGGCTGTGTCATGGTTTGGGGCAGCATGTCAGACAGTATTGTTGGAGATCTTGTCAAAATTGATGGACTTATGAGCATCATCAGATTGTCCATCATGCAGTACCATCTGGAGAACATCTGATTAACAATGGCTTGTTTCAAAAATACTGCCAGTGCAATTAAAGGATACCTGGACATAAATAGACACAGTGGAGCACCATCGGTCATGCATTGGCCTCGCCAGAGGAGGACCTCAGCATTATTAAAGCAGTGTGGGATCATCCTGACACAGAACAGAACAAAAGGCAGAAACATCCAAAGAAGAGCTTTGAATGTCCTCCATGAAGCCTGCAGAACTGTTCCTGAAAACAACTTAAAGAAATTGCATGAAAGCTGCCTAAGAGTGTTCAGGCTGTTGAAGATCTTCCAAATATTGACTTTTATTTAAATTGTGCAAACCATGTGTTTGCCTTATGCACTTTATTTCCATGAATGTTTGCACATGCTTAAACAAATTGCTGCAGCAATTTCACATTTCCATAGTAAAACACAGCGACGAGACCTTCGTACAGAATTTGAAATGCTGAAGTACTTAAAAACATTTGAATTTAAGACATCATGTGCTACAGGTGTTTGGCATTAAGTGAAATATGACTTCATAGGGACGTATTGTGCTTTTCATCTCATTTACTGTTGCTATGGTTTATGCCTAAATATGGGACGCCACACGAGCAATTGACCCTAATGGGAACATCCCTGTGTGCTCAGCATGCTTTGTTATAGACCCTTTATATCTTAAACTTAGCCCATGTGTGGTCATTAAGAGCGCAGAAGCCCCGCCCACCTACTGTTCAAACCTTCCACTTACTAGAGTTAGCCAATCAGAAGAAAGTTGTTTTAAAGGTAGAGTCAAGATAAACAAAGGGGCTCAACAAGAGCTAACTATATGATAAGTACGGCTTATATTCGACTGTGACTCATGCAAAGCTACCCTGGTAGAGGCCAAGAATAAAGATATGGAGCTGAAAGTGAGCATAAAATGTTCACTTTAAAAACACGAGTTAGATTTTGGAGTCTTTATCTTCATCTCATTTTTGTCCTGCAGGATCCTCGCAGAAACTGAAGTGGACACCCACCTAATGTCCCTCGCCGAGCGGGACTGAGCGAGCAGAGCGGCGTCGCCTGTCGGATTTAGTTAGAGCATGATGGGAAATGCAGTTCCCAGATTGAAGGCTCGT